GAAATAATAATAATAATATGCTTTATTGTACACCAAGCGAGTAATTATACAATATCAAGAAATTACAGAAAATAAAGAGGGTACAAGGGCGGCCTTATCGCTAAAAGCGATATCTACCAGGCAACCTTTGGGTGTATGGAGCATTGATTAATTTAAGAGGGTAGTCCGATGGCATACATAAATATTAACTACTATCATAACAAATATATATATATATATATACCTAATTACATACACATACATACATACATACCGAACACAAATATAAATAAAATAAATAAATATCTATATATATATACAACTACACACATACAACCTAAATAAGTATATAAGGGAGCTAGCGTGATCTATGACGTGGACATATAATAATCCTTAACTTTAGCTTTAAAGGTAGCTATTGACCGTGCTTGTCTTACCGACATAAGTAAAATGATGTAGGATAAATAGATAAGTAAATTAACTAAAAATCGCATAGGCTATTGTCACATTGTCAATTCTGGTTGGCGTTTCCTCACGATTATTACCTTCACCGTTGGTCAGTGGCGTCGAAATAATCTTAGAAAGTACATATAACTCGGAAAAAGTCACATTGATACTTGTACCAATATGACTTTGCGGGTGCGGATTCGAAACCTACCAACGGCAAGCCATTGCATGAGATCGTGCATGAGAAGCAGGCGTCTTCAACCTCCGGGCATACATATAACGGTATACATAAAACGTAAAGTCATGCCTTACTATAAACTTATCACATGAAGCAGGATATCTTTGTACGTATCTCAGATAAATGACTTACGTATTTACTTTATACAATTTGTTATGACTGCGTTGTAGAGTTTAGTTGGAGTATATTTAAAATTTACCTAAGTAATTCAGAAGGTAATGGAGGAAAATGCACATGCACGGGCCATCCGATCTTTACTAATCTTAATGAACTCATCTATGTTTTGTCTTATTTACAAAATAATAAACATTTATGCAGGTAGTTACTTATAAAAATGTTTTCAACAACAAAACGTGAGACAAAGAGGCTTTAAGACAACATAAGCGTCGCGGAGAACCTAACGGGTAACCGGGGCTCCGGCTCGACGTGCAGGAGAAGGAACGGGGTGGTTTTTAGTCAGTAAGAGTCTGACACTCCCTTCCGCCTCACCCAGGCGGGAGCAGTCATTCGATGATTTTCCCCCCTTTAAAAAAAAAAGACAACATAAGCATAACATAACATCACGCCTTTTATACCCGAATAGGTAGGTAGAGGTGCACATTACGGCATTTAATGCCACTGCACAATGTAACACCCACTTTTCACTATTTATGTTACGAGTTCCATGTAATAGGGAATGAGCCTATTGCCATATACCGGGCACAATTCCAGACTCCTTAGTAGTAGTAGTCTTTAGACTTATCTATATTTTATGTTATTTACAGAATAACAAGATTTTTTTTGTTGTTATTATTACTGTTTATTCCTGTTGTTTTTTATAGGAATTCTATGTTGTATTGAGCATCATGCCTAATGGCAAATAAATTATTTTTCTTTCTTTCATTTTTTCATGTACCTATGTAGATAGTACTAATAAAAATATTTTCAACAGAAACGTGATGCAGATAGGCTTTAAGACAAATACAAATAAATATAAAAATTATACGAATACATATAAATCTGTTTATTCATCATTCTAAACAACAATTTTTCTAATAAAAAGACAGTAGCGTTCAGACGGAGTAGACTTGTAACATCATTTCTTTAGGAGCATTATCAACGTAGCTATCTGTAACTGTATTTCAGAAATATGTAGGTACGCTGTTAAGCCAGTCATGATTGTGCAACTGATTAAATTGAACTTTATCATCAAGAAACAAGACTCATAATATTTATATCATCGTTGATAATGTCATATGCGTTAGATATCCGATTGGCTGTTTACAAAATAGTATAAAATGTGATGTGTAAGCAAACTCATCGTGTTTTCGTACATGTCTCTTGCTTAAGAGTGGATTTCAAAGATCTGAGTTAAAGGAAAAATATTTAATAAATAATTTAAAAATGGTCGTAGCTAAGAAATATGTCATTCTAAATCCCTTTGAAGGTGAACCTAAGAAAAGTGATTTTGAAATTGTTGAGGAAGTTCTACCTGAGTTACAAGATAATGGTTTGTATATACTTACTTACTAGAGGTAGATTCTGTCAGCGATTTCACCCGTGTTCCCGTATGAAAAGTGGCCTATTTATTTTTAAAGATTATAGGTACTCCATATATCCACTCGTGTTTCAAATTTCAATTCGATCCCTTCAGCTGTTTCGACATGAGAGTTACAAACATATAGTACATCCTCACAAAATTTCGCGTGTATAACTGTTTTGTTTCATCATCGTCATCATCAACAGCCTATAAATGCCCACTGCTGAGCAAAGCCTCTTCTCACACGGAGAATGTTTGAGCATTGATTACCACGCTTACTCAATGCGGGTTGGTGATTACAAACTTGTAACTAGATTCTATAACCCCAGGTTTCCTCACGATGTTTTCCTTCACCGTTTGTCAGTGGTGTCTAAATAATCTTAGAAAGTACATATAACTCGGAAAGAGTCACATTGGTACTTGTCGTTGTTAGGTTTTGAATCCGCACCCTCATGCATGAGAAGCGCGTCTTAACCTCCGGACTACCACGACATACAATTATTTTGTTTACATACTTTTTATTAATACAAATGTTGTTTTGGTATTTTGCTGGATAACACTGACATGTTTGCATAATATCTATGGAATTATTTGTAGGTATCTTAATTGTTTAACTTATGTATAAGTGCTAGTCTCAAAAACAATGAAATCAACGCTGTAAGTTTAATTTATAAATCGAGCAATCTGACTACTTAACTTATTCAATCTTATGCAGTATTCAAACATTAAGTGAAAGTACCTCAGTAGATATTTGTTGAAATTAATAAAATTTCACGAATGTTTCAGAATTTCTCGCTGAAGCAGCATACATTAGTGTTGATCCTTACCAGCGAATGAAACTGGGAGCTTCGTATCCTTGTGATATGATTGGAGGACAGGTTGCAAAGTAAGAATACGTTCAGTTCATTCTTAAGGCACATTTAACAAGCGCGGCTCCGGCACGGCTCCAATCCGGTAATAAACTTGTCATTTAAATATGAACTTTAAGTCGTATGGCATATTTCATAAAGTCAATATAAAAAAGCTGCTACGTGCCTGGGGCGCGTTTCCAACCTTTTTGTTTTGTTTCCTTTCAAAAAATGTCGTATCGGAGCCGTGCCGTGCCGTGCTTATAGATGTATGATGACCGTAAAATATAACTGGATGTCTAAATAAACTTAGAAAATATATAATTACTTATAACTCGTTAAGATTTACGTTTTGGTGCTTACATTTCAAAATTTGTTTGTGATGTGAATATTAAATGTGAAACCAACATTTCGCTATTTAAATTTTTGTTATAAGGACCAAACAATCCAGATCTTCCAATTTAAACCTTTATATAAGTGGATAAAATATGTATTACCTTTTTAGAGTAATTGAAAGCAAAAACCCCGAATATCCAGTTGGATGCTGGGTAATGGGTCATTTTGGATGGAGGACCCATACAGTGACTAAACCAGAAAACGAGAAGTTCAGCGCTCAAAAACCGTATTTGTACAAATTACCTGACTTCGGTGACCTACCTGTGTCACTTGCACTTGGTGTGTGTGGAAGAGTGGGGTACGTAGCAAATACTTTTTAGTGTCTCTTAAAAATATGAGTGTAGGTACATATCTCACCAACTAACGGTTCGTAAAAGGTATACCTACAATATCGCAAAAGTTATAAATTAACTGTATGATTATTGATTGGTGTTATAGGTGCGCGACTTGATACTGTGAAGTGAGTGGTTCCTACATGAAACAGCCATTTGTATTTTAAGGGTTTGAGTGTAGAGCCAATAAGGAAATTAAGAGTCATAGAAAAAGATAACACCACGCCTTTTATCCCCGAAGGGATAGGGAGAAGAATGCACATTACGGCACTTAATAGTTAAATATAGTTCATAGTTAATAAATAGTTTAGGAAACATATTTTAAGTTACTATGTCGAATTAGGTTAAGTTATCTGTAATGGCAAAGTAATTATATATAAGTATTAAATAAATAAATAAATAAATAAATAAATAAATAAATAAATAAATAAATAAATAAATAAATAAATAAATAAATAAATAAATAAATAAATAAATTTAATGCCATTGTACAATGTAACACCCACTTTTCACTATTTATGTTATGAGCCCTATGTAATAGGGGTTGAATCTATTGCCATGTACCGGGCACAAAATTATAGAAAAATAAAGAGAAACAAGTCATCAAAGTACTTGTAACTTCTCTATCCATAAGCGGCGCTGATCACTATTATCGGGTCATTCGCCATGCCTTGTGTTTACTCTATTCCATAAAGAACCAGGGTAACTATTGATATTTTCTCATTACAGGAACAGCGCGTACTTCGGTTTTACGGAGATCTGTAAACCCAAGGCTGGAGAGACTGTGGTGATATCAGGAGCTGCTGGTGCTGTTGGTTCACATGTTGGACAGATTGCTAAGATTTTTGGTACTTAATTGTATTTTTTTTGTTAAACTGTCCATTATACTACGAATACGAAAATTCGATCGATTCATTTATAAGTGATGATGGTGTCTCGCCCCTATGTTACATTGGACTTCAAAACACGATTGAAGAAGAATTGGTGTGTGTTGACGCCTAACCCTACGTCGAGAGCGGGGGGTCTGCCCGCCTTCCCCCCTCCTCGTCACGGAGTGTATATATGGGAGTGCACCGGATCATCGATCATCGATCGACGACTAGTTTTGTATTCATTCCGCTCATAAGGACAATTAATATTGTAAAAAGTTTAAAAGTAATAAATCAGTTAGTATATTGGTATCCAGGGTTTATTTTCAGCTCCGCACACAATACCTGACACACCACAGTATAAGCAGTATAACCTAGCCCTAGACATTTTGGTGCCGTGACCAGGATCAGGATATTGGAAATTGTATATACCAAAGGAGAACAAATTGAAGGAAAAGGCTAAGGATACAAGGAGATTAAGGGATATAAGGAAGAGAGAGTATAGCAAAGGGATAATTATATACGCCAAATTTGGTGAGCCCATTCCTTTTTTTTCCATCTACCTACTAATATTTTCCTAGTGTCGATATTTGATAGATTTTGTGGTAAAGTTTCTGATATTCTGGTGTTTGTTTGTTTAAAACGTGAGGATTATTTAATTTAATTACACAACGTAGGATTTGTCGTATTCAGCAATGTCTTTAGCTTCCAAAAAAGCCGCAGAGCCAATGAAACGACGAAGTTACATTAAGGGTAGACTGACAATTTTTAAATCGTATTTAGAGGATATTAACGATCTAGAAAAACTATCAGATCAGCAAATTTCAGAGCTACGATTAAGATTAGCTAAATTAGAAGCGTGTTTCTCAACATTTGATGATTTACAGTCCGAGATTGAAATTGAATCTGAGGATACGAGCGAACAAATGAAAATTCGTTCTGAGATCGAAGGTCAATTTTATTCTTTAATTTCTCAAGGGCAATGCATTTTAGACAAATTAGAAGTTAATGCTAAACGTAAAAGTCTAGTTCATCAATCCTTTAGACAATCTGGAAGTTTCGAAAGTGCAGACGCATTTACTAGTTCTATAAAATTACCCACAATTAAGTTACCCACCTTTGATGGGACTTATAGCAAATGGTTAGAGTACAGAGATACGTACGACGCACTAATTCATAAAAACGAAAATATTGACCCAATAAATAAGTTTCATTATTTACGATCCTCATTAGAGGGTAGTGCGGCATTAATAATCAACTCACTATCGTTTTGTTCAGATAATTATATCCTTGCGTATGACTTACTGTGTCAACGATTTAACAATAAAAGACTTTTAATAAGTAATCATATGAAAGCATTATTTAATATGGAATGTGTTTCAAGGGAGTCTGAAAAATCATTGCGTTTTATGATTGATAATATAACTAAGAATCTGAGGGGTTTAAAGTCGTTGGAACAACCGGTAGAATATTGGGATACCATAATAATTCACTTATCAGTAAATAAACTAGATAATTCAACTTCTAGGAAATGGGAAGAATATAAAAGTTCTATAGGAGATATACCAACACTTCAAGAATTCTTTAGATTTTTACGTGATCGAGCTGACGTAATCGAATCGAGCAAGTCTAGTAAATTAAGTGGAAATAGCAAAAATGAAAGGACTACGAATTTGATTGCGTCTGCTCAGGTTAACAATAATCGTCCCTTGAATTGTGTCGTTTGTAAACAAGATCACCGCTTGTTCGAGTGCACGAGGTTTATTTCTATGAGTTTGACAGAAAGAAACGAAGTTGTATCAAAAAATAAATTGTGTCTTAATTGTTTTAAACCTGGACATCGCGCGTTTAATTGTAAATCATCTGGCTGTCAAATATGCAAGTATAAACATAATTCCTTGTTGCATAGGAATAAACCTCAAACAACAGATAAAAATGTTAATTCGAACAGCAGTGTGCATCAGGCGATAATCGAACCGGGAGTAACCTCAATGCCGTCCGAGTTGATCACTGTGCCTAAGTCACATGTGTCCGCTCCGGCGGCGCAGCTCGCCGCGGAACCGGTTTCCTTATCTACGATCGCCACTAGACACGTACTTCTTTCAACCGCGCTAGTTAAAGTATTGAACAAATTAGATAATAAATATTATGTGGCACGCGCATTGCTGGATTCTGGTAGCCAAATATCGATTGTAACTGTAGACTTATGTAATAAATTAGGGTTGTCGCGCACAGGAACTGATGAAAGTTTGAGTATTTATGGTATAGGAAATAGTAAAGTACAAGTAGCAAATAGCTGTAAGTTATTGATAAACTCAATGCATAGCGATTTTTCGGTAGAAGTTCACTGCATGATTTTGCCAAAAATTACGAATAAGTTACCAAATGTAAAGGTAAAGGTAAATGAATTGAATATTCCCGGTGACATATTCGTGAATTTAGCGGATAGTAGATTTTATGAACCTGCCGACGTAGATATGTTAATAGGAGCAGATTTGTTTTGGGACATAGTGACCGGCCAGCAAATAAAGTTAGATAAGGGTTTTCCCACATTGCAGAATTCCAAGTTAGGTTGGCTCGTCACTGGTCCAGTATATAGTAGGACTGCTCCACGGTATGAGGTAAAATGTAACTTAACTACAAGTTTAAGTGAACAATTAGAAAAATTTTGGAAAATTGAAGAAGTCTTAAATATAAATAAAAAGCCGTATAGCTCTGACGAAGAAATTTGTGAAAAACATTTTGTAGAAAATACCATTAGATTGAGTGACGGTAGGTTTTGCGTGAAGATGCCATTTCACACCTCTCCTTCCATACTAGGCGATTCGTTAGGGAAGGCTAAATCACGTTTTATTAATTTAGAGAAACGGTTTAAGAAACAACCTGACGTGAAGAGTTCCTATACAGAATTTATAAAGGAATATGAACTATTAAATCACTTGTCTGAGACTAGGAAGCCTGCCTTTGGATACTATTTACCGCACCATCCCGTCATTCGCGAAAAAAGTGAGACCACGAAACTTCGTGTCGTTTTCAACGCGTCAGAGAAAACGAGTAGCGGGTATTCGTTAAATGATATCCAAATGGTAGGTCCAGTTATTCAAGACGATTTATGCAGCATATTGCTCAGGTTTAGGCAACACAAATTCGTCATGACGTCAGATATTGAGAAAATGTATAGGCAAATATTAATATCGGAAAGTCAACGACATTTACAAATGATAGTTTGGAGGGATAGTGATTACGAACCGTTAAAGTATTTAAAGTTGAACACTGTTACCTACGGAACCGCGTCCGCTCCGTTTTTAAGCACTCGTTGTCTTTTACAGTTATCACATGAGTGTGATGATTTAGAGATAAAGAAAATAATTAAGCGTGATTTTTTTATGGATGACCTAATTACTGGGCATCAGACTGAGGAGGGTTTAAATAGAATTTGCCGAATAATTACTAAAACCTTAAGTTCAGCTGGATTTAACTTACGAAAATTTCGATCAAACGCATCTAAGTTATGTTGCGAAAATAAATCAAATGAAGTGCAATCCATTACTGAATTCAAAACGGTTACTAGCACTTTAGGTTTAACTTGGTCGCCCGAGTCTGATGTATTAAAATTTTGTGTACAAGTAGACAACCATGAAAAAATTACCAAGCGAAGTATATTATCTTCTATTGCAAAAATTTTCGATCCGCTAGGTCTTTTAAGTATTTTTGTGATTAAGGCTAAATTAATACTACAGAAGTTGTGGTTGGATAAGTATGGATGGGACGACCTCGTAACGGGAGAAATACAAACTTTGTGGCGCAACTTTATTAAAACCATGAATTCTCTCAACTGTGTTGAAGTACCTAGGCATGTCATGTGTGCCGAGGTAGTACATATAGAACTTCATTTTTTTTCTGATGCTTCTATGTGTGCATATGGGACATGCGCCTATGTGCGCTCAATCAGTCGAAACGGAAACATTCATGTTCAATTACTTTGCGCGAAGTCAAGGGTCGCTCCATTAAAGGGTCTAACTATACCTAAGCTTGAGTTATGCGGCGCGTTGTTGTCCGCCGAGTTAGGAGAAAAGGTGACTCACTCCTTGCGTTGTAATGTGGTTCGTTGTGTCTACTGGACGGATTCGATGATCGTGCTCGGGTGGTTGCGTACCGATCGCGCAGTTTCAAAACAATTAAAGGTGTTTGTTGCAAACAGAGTAATTAAAATTATAAATTTAACAAAGGATTGTGAATGGCGATACGTACCAACAGATGTAAACCCAGCTGATTACATTTCCCGAGGCGTAGATATAATGAATGATTCCGTGCAGAAATTATGGTGGGGTGGGCCACCCTTTCTATCGTCATCAGAGACTGATTGGCCGAATGTAGACAGGAATAAATTAAAAAATGTCCAGTTACCTGAAGTGAAACTTGTAAGCACGTTGGTAGCAAATGTAAACATTAAAAATGATTTAATTGAATTTGAACGTTATTCTAAGCTAAAGAGATTACAATATACCATGGCCTACGTCCTTAGATTTATAAAGAATTGTAGAATTAAGCAACGTGAAAATAGACTTAGTTGTAGTTATTTTAGTGTTGATGAATGCAATGAGAGCATGTTTTATTTAGTTAAATTGTCGCAGTTAGATTCATTCAGTAGTGAGTATCATCAGTTATTAATCAATAAGCCCTTAAGTAAGAAAAGTAAATTATTATCTCTTAGTCCGTTTATGGATTGTAAACTTAAAGTTATGCGTGTAGGAGGTCGTATTCGCAACGCACCTCTTCCCTATGATAAAAAGCATCCCTTTTTGTTGGATTCCAATCACCGATTATCGAGGCTTATTTTTGAAAACGAACACATTAAGCTATTTCACGGTGGATGTCAATTAATGGTATCAGCTGTTCGAGAACAATATTGGGTAATTAATGCTCGAAAAATAGCTAGGAGTGTAGTTCATAGCTGCATAGTTTGTAAGCGATTTAGGTTTAAGTCAATAGCGCCTATTATGGGGAACTTACCCATGCAACGTTTGAAGCCAGGGACGCCTTTTGAAACTTCTGGAGTCGACTTAGCCGGTCCATATCTCATAACTGACAGGAAGGGTCGTGGTTGTAAAATCAGTAAATCATACATGTGTTTATTTGTTTGTTTTGCAACTAAGGCTCTGCATTTGGAAGTTGTCAGTGACTTGAGTACTGACGCCTTTTTATTGGCTCTTAGGAGATTTATTTCGCGGCGTTCAAAACCTAATGTAATATATTGCGATAATGCGACAAATTTTTTAGGCGCTAGCAATGAACTAAATAAGTTTTTATTAACTAACAAGGAACATATAAATACTTTTTGTTCAGATGAAGGTATGAAATTCTCATTCATACCGCCATATGCCCCAAATTTTGGAGGACTATGGGAGGCAGGGGTGAAATCGGCTAAATTTCATATGAAAAGAATATTAGGAAACAAGCACTTGACATTTGAAGAGCTTTCCACATTATTCGTTCAAGTGGAAGCCATACTAAATTCCAGACCTTTATTTCCTATGTCTTCCGATCCTAATGATCTCCAACCCCTTACTCCTGGGCATTTTCTCGTCGGTAAACCATTGATAGCTCTTCCCTCTCCTGACTTGTCAAACATTAACTGCAATCGACTTCACAGATACGAACAATTAGAACATATGAGACAATGTTTTTGGATGAGATGGCAGCATGATTACGTCACTGAACTGCAACATCGTACGAAATGGCGGCATGCGGATATACAATTACAAATTGGAGATATGGTCCTCATTAAGGATCTCAACTTGCCTCCCTTGAAATGGAAAATAGGGCGGATACAGGACTTGCATTTGGGCAAGGATGAAGTGGCCAGAGTAGCCGACGTCAGGACAGCTAATGGTACCGTTCGTCGTGCAGTAAATCGCTTGTGCCCCTTGTTCAACAGCGATAATTGGTTGAAGGAGCAACCTTCAAGGGGGGAGGATGTTGACGCCTAACCCTACGTCGAGAGCGGGGGGTCTGCCCGCCTTCCCCCCTCCTCGTCACGGAGTGTATATATGGGAGTGCACCGGATCATCGATCATCGATCGACGACTAGTTTTGTATTCATTCCGCTCATAAGGACAATTAATATTGTAAAAAGTTTAAAAGTAATAAATCAGTTAGTATATTGGTATCCAGGGTTTATTTTCAGCTCCGCACACAATACCTGACACACCACAGTATAAGCAGTATAACCTAGCCCTAGACAGTGTGAGTGGTATTTTTAACTATAATTGCGAATGTTCCAGGATGCCGAGTTATTGGAATAGCAGGTACCGATGAGAAATGCGAGTGGCTGGTCAAAGAACGAGGATTTGATAGTGCTGCCAATTACAAAACGACAGATATAGGAAAATTCCTAGAAGAAAATGTTCCAGAAGGCGTAGATTGCTATTTTGACAATGTTGGTGGAGAATTGAGCAGTACAATAATGTCGAAGATGAATAACTTTGGCGGAGTTGCCGTTTGTGGAGCCATTTCAAGTTATAATGAAACTGATCCGGAGAAGCGTAAGGGTAAGACATTTTTTTAACTATTTAAACACACACAGTCTTAATTTCCTTTGCGCTTTCAGGATTCCATATAGGTATAAAATAAAAACTTTTATGAACTATGTGTAAAACAACCAACATCACCCCCTTCTTTTTTGAAAGTCGGTTAATTAATATACTAAAACCTGGAAACTATCGGCTTTTTTCTTCTCCTCTTATAATATCTTTTGATTCGCTTCGTTACGGGAACCAAGACAGTTATTCATGTTCCTGGAACGAGCTGGACTTCATTGTTCCAGTGTTTTCGTGGTTGTGTCTACTGTCTGCAGATCCTGGTTTACATGAGTTGCAGTGGTTTTAGGACTTTTGTGGCGGCCTTGTCCCATTAAAAATACTAAAAACTCCTAAGAATAACCAACACTTTTCTGAAAACACATCAGGTTCAGCCAATCACGAGATAATCGCGCACAAACATAAATACATGTCAAATTGAGCACCTCCTTTTTATGAAGTCGGTTAAAAAACTAATGGCATGTCAATGACTCCGACATTCTCTGTTTCAGCATCCATGATCCAATTTTCCTTGATCGGCAAAGGACTTAAAGCAGAAGGGTTCTTAGTGAACAGATTTGCTGATCGTAATTTAGAAGGAATCAATCAAAACTTGAAGTGGGTGAAAGAAGGAAAGCTTAAATACAAAGAACATGTTTATGAAGGATTCGAATCAGCCGTTGATGCTTTCATTGGTCTATTTAGAGGAGAAAATATTGGTAAAAGTATTGTGAAAGTGAAGTGAAGTAATAATAATTCTATCCATAAATGATATGAGAATTAATGAGAATGTGTATTAATTATTTGAATTATAGAAGAGTTTTATGTGATTGTTATTCAACCATTGGTAGAAGAACCAGCTCCATAACAGCTGTAGGTACATACATATGAAGATTTTACGGCTTCAACAAAAACCATTATACGAACATGTTTTCCTTATCATTACATAGTATAAAACAAAGTTACTATCCGCCGTCTGTCTGTCCCTATGTATGCTTAGATCTTTAAAACTACGCAACGAATTTTGATGCGGTTTTTTTTAATAGATAGAGTGATTCTTAAGGAAGGTTTGTATGAATACATACATGCATATTGCACCTGTGTGAAGCCAGGGCGGGTCGCTAGTTAGTTCATAAATCATAAAGCATTGTTTCAAAACATTATCAATATATATCTTTAAAAACCACTGCCTCGTTGGCCGAGTGGTCGCAAGTACGACTGTTGGGCAAGGGGTCTCGGGTTCGATTCCCGGGTCGGGCAAAGTACTATTGAGTTTTTATAAATTCTCAGTAGTAGCACAGAGTCTGGAATTGTGCCCGGTATGTGGCAATAGGCTCACCCCCTATTACATGGGACTCATAACATAAATAGTGAAAAGTGGGTGTTACATTGTACAGTGGCATAATGTACACCTCTGCCTACCCCTTAGGGGATAAAAGGCGTGATGTTATGTTAAAAACCAATGAAGTGTGAGGTTACGTCATTTAATTTGCAAGGGAGATCCCGTACTACAGGTCGGTAACCATCTTCATAAACACGTGCAAGTCTGCAACTCCATACGACTTGTGCAATATTCAACAGAATCAATAAAGAAACAGTTATGTCGCACATTTCTTGACACGAATACTTTAGCAGAATTTCCTTTAAGGTTCGTTGTACGGTTGTAAAGTTAGAGATATTTATTTATTTTGTGTAAATTACAATATTCATATTTTACTTTTGTGAGACATGCTAAATTAATTAATATGTTTTTCGGCTTATTTAAGTAATTATTTGACGAGGAACTCGACTAGTTTCAAGCCATGCTAGAGGTTCACATTTCAATGTCACCATGTATACATGGTGACATTGAAATGTGATATGATAAAAGTTTCTCCTCTCTTCGGGATAATTTAAATAATTTTTATTAGTTGTCTAGTAATATATCTACAAAATAACGTAGGGCTTTAGTTTAGTTAGTAGCTAATAGCCTAGTGGCTATTATAGAGAATTTCATGATTTAAAATTTGAAATTTTACATACATTCAGGTTGGATTACAAAATTGGGAGAACTACGGTTTCATTTTATCAGAATTTATTAATAAAATGTACGGTGTAGCGGATTATCTATTACAGGGTTCCCCAATTGCATGGGACAAGTGTATCATAGTACATAAAAAGAGACAATCATAAAAATATGCTCTGTGTAGTAAAGGTGTGATCTTAAAAAACATTTCCACAAATCCTTAGCCTTCTAACATTCAAACGTCACTATTAGATAAGTAGGTTATGTAAAATTCAATACAATGTATTCAATGTCAAATTATCTTTTATGTGTAAATCAAATATGTACACATCTTAATGTCCTTACAATAACAATAGATCAGTCATAGCATTGACTTTGATACTTGAGAAGGCGACATAAGACCAGTATAACATGAACTACACACATTACAAAAATACTTAAGGTTACATGTCTTTTTACAGTGGTCGTATATAACACTTGTCTATATAGAAACAGACGATATGAATAGAATTTAATAGTTAATTCTATTGAGTAAGTAATTATGTTCTTAAGCGGTTACATAAAAATAAGTACTATAGATGCTCAGTTTTACATTGTAGTGTGTGTCTCGTGTAATGGTTATGGCTTGACTAATTCGGTATTGATTGAATAAAAGGATTGAGTATTAGGACTTTCCTAAGTCGAAGTCATGAAGGGAATGAAAGAAAAATGTGAATAATGAGGAAAGATTTTAAAGAAAATAGGTTTTCTATATGACATTTCTTAGGGAACACGATGGAGAAAGAGGGGTAGAAAAGGGAGAATATGGTAAACGTCTGACACCAAATTGCTGGGTAAGTACTTAGGTAAGGTATATTCATTAAGAATGAAAGAAACACATTACAATCTACTTAGAATTTCCTACTTAGAAACCCTCCATGTTCTTTACTTGACTCAGAGATCGAATCCCTTGACAGGTTGTTGCACTCGTGACCACTCAATCAAAGATTTATTTTATTTTATTTACTTTAAGTCATCTGGCAAAATAATGACCAACTCCTCGTTCAATCATCGACCACGATCAAAAAATAATACATATACATAATATATATAATTGTAATATGTACTACCTTATTGGTCTGCCTGGCTGATTAGTGGTTAGGAGAGGCTGATCAGATATTCGAAATTTTTAAAAGTACGGTGCATGGAATTGTGATCGGTATATGGCAATAAACTCGCCCTCTATTACGTTGGACTCCTATCACAACTACCTGGTGAGAAGTGGGTGTTAAATTGAAGGTGCATCTCTGTCAAACTTTTAGGCAAGAAGAGGCACGACGTTATTATGTTGTAGGTCTAACGTTAAAGTCTCTGTTTACTCGGCTGTTGTCAGCATGCACGAACATATTCGTGCTGTGCATTTTAAACATGTCATGTTACCCAATTTTACAAGGTATCCGTGGTTAACCTACTGATTTGAGGTCTCCGCCTGTAATGTTATTTTGGTCTCACGGATGTTAGGAGGAAGATTTGGAAGGTTATGAGAATGTGTCTACTACCTTATGTGCATAGGTACAATATGGTGAAAAAATAATTGTCTGTAAATAAATATCTTAAAAAATTACCAACAAGACTATGAGCTGGATGCTTAGTAATATTATGATAACTAAACGAAAGAGGTACCTAATGATTTACGAATTATACTGTTTGCATCACTGTAGATATTGGGTATGCTTATTGTTTAAATGTGTTCGAGTCATAGAGCAACTATGTGTTCGAGTGAACCAAGTGACAAAACAAAATACGAGTAAAATAATTTTATTTGCGATACAAATTATATTACTTATAATATCTCATTGTACCACATTTACCTCAAACTTAATGTTGATAATATCTATTTTTAATTAACTTGTTTTTTATTCGAATGACTTCTGAAACACGTCATAGGTAGATAATAAACCAAGTAAGCACTAGGTTATTAAAAAAAACATTCACATAATTCGTAAAAGATGACAAGTCATTGCTTGGACATCTCCAAGCAATGACACCTACGAGACAGGTTTATGATGCCATTAATATAAACGGTTAATATAATAAATTCATTGTTTCTTCTTCTTTTGACGCTTACCTTATGCATGTTCCTTAGTCCTTTGTTACTCTATTGAGTTAAATTGACTGTCACTATTTTATTTAAGAAACTATCAAGATGCTGTATATTGCTTATGGCGTTTTACCATCAATAATAAAACTAACACGATATGATGTGGATATATCGTCCCATTGGAAGAATAAAGTGTTATGATCACATGTGTCGAAATTCATATTATGTTAAATTCGTCATCCTTATAATGTAAACTATCGATTAATACTATTTTTATATATTTTTATCAATTAATTCAAAAGATACAATGCTCGAATAAAGTTTTATCCGCGCGGACTACGTAAAATAACTATGCATGATCACATACAACAATATTCTCCGCCTTGCTCCTGCGCAATTAGCTGCGCGTGCCGTGTCGCTTCATCCTAAGTAACGTTGTTCGACGAAGTAGCAGCGAGTGGTGTTTGTTACAATGAATACCCAAAATTTGATAAAATATGCTGTATATAATGGTTTGATACAATTTACACTACGTTTTATAAATTTCCCACAAAGACAGTATTTATAATCACATAAAACATTTTTTTACGAAATACCAAAGCTTACTTATTAGAACTTAAATCTGAACTAAATACTTTAATAATAACTTATATAACATAACGGTATCTAATAGGACTTGTCTTATTTTTTCCCCTATTTT